GTTACAAGATACACTGGCTCCTGGGGTACATGAGGCTTTTAAGCCATGGTGACCCCACACCTGCCTGATGTGGACCTTGTCTCTTTGAACTTGAGCTGTCATTTGGGGTGGGGATTCAGAAGGCAGCCCCTGGATAGCTGCAAGGATTCCCGCAGGAGTGCCTGACACTTCCCAGCAGGCAAGCTGTGGTTCCTGTCCTACTGAGCAGACTGGGGTCTATCAGCATCTTATGAGTCTGGATGTGAAGTTGAACCAAAGACAACCCGCTTGTGGACACTGCAGATACATCATAGATGAGATATAATAAGAACCAGAGGAAAAGTAGTAAATTCCTGATTCCTGGGAACACATTTTCCGCTCAAAAATGACAGTCAATAAACATTTGCTGCTGTCCTACATGCCACTGACATACATAAAATAGAGAAGCAACATTTCCCCTCGATGGACCCTGTCCTGGATGTGAAGTTGAACCAAAGACAACCCGCTTGTGGACACTGCAGATACATCATAGATGAGATATAATAAGAACCAGAGGAAAAGTAGTAAATTCCTGATTCCTGGGAACACATTTTCCGCTCAAAAATGACAGTCAATAAACATTTGCTGCTGTCCTACATGCCACTGACATACATAAAATAGAGAAGCAACATTTCCCCTCGATGTGACCCTGTCCTATATGTGACCCTGTCCCACATGCATGTGACCCTACATGACCCTGTCCTACATGCATGTGACGCTGTCCTACATGCCACTGACATACATAAAATAGAGAAGCAACATTTCCCCTCGATGTGACCCTGTCCTATATGTGACCCTGTCCCACATGCATGTGACCCTACATGACCCTGTCCTACATGCATGTGACCCTGTCCTACATGCCACTGACATACATAAAATAGAGAAGCAACATTTCCCCTCGATGTGACCCTGTCCTATATGTGACCCTGTCCCACATGCATGTGACCCTACATGACCCTGTCCTACATGCATGTGACCCTGTCCTACATGCCACTGACATACATAAAATAGAGAAGCAACATTTCCCCTCGATGTTTCCTGGTCTCTGGTTTTAACCCTGAGTCTTCCCTACAAAACAAAATACCTTTTAACTCCCCAAGCTGTGCTCATTAGAATGGCGAGCTGAATAAGGGTGCTTTCATGAATTAATATTTGCAGTTTAAGGGGCCTTCAGGGAAGGGTGGGCCATGACAAACAGCAATCAAAGTCACAAGAACTCTCCCAAGTGCTCAACAGTCTCCAGGTCTATAGCAAGTGTTCACATTCTTATACTTTTGCTTCTTACTCTTCCACCCTCTCACCCCTTGCTTCAATATGACCTCTTTTTCTCAGGGCTCACATACTGAGAATCTCTTTTAAGTACCTTATCTCAACTGTTCTTCCTCTGAGGTCTTTCTTCTCCCTAGAGTTCATCTCAGTTTTCTCTCTCTGAGCCTCAACTAGCTTGAAATACCCTTGACTGGGAATGCCCAAGGTCACCATTTGGCTCTGTAGCCAGCTGATAAGAGTGACATCTGAGGTCTGTGCCTCATGCCCAGTGCCAGCCTTGGGAATACACACGCCTTCTCACTTCATCGCATGGCTTATATTAGTTTCCAAAAGCCTAAGAATGGCACAGCTGGTTGTGAAATCTGACGGTAGAGAATTAGAAGTATCTACTGAAAGGGGAGGGGACAGGCCAGAAGAGGTGTGTGCAGAGTTGGAGCTGGTTGTAGGAAAGCCTGAAGCCACAGAAAATGGGCTCATCTAGCAGGCTGCTCTCAGGAGTGGTGACAGGAAATTCTGAAGACCTACTCTATCCTTTCCCGGAACTTTACCCTGTTTTTCTGTAAGAAGCCCTCATGGTACATTTTCTTCATACTGTGTATAAAAGAGAGACACTCACGTGATAGTGGGTGTGCTAACTGTGACAACTGGTATATCCTTTTAAGAAAGTAGTTTAATATTGTTTATCCTTCTGATATCATTAATCCTTCTCCTGGACATTACTCCAGGAAGCAACAGTAAACCAACAAAACCACATACATGATTTTTTTTTTAAATAACCACGAAGGCTACATAGCAATATGGAACTGGCTGAAACATGAAAGAAAAAAAGCGGAATGTCTGAATATCCACTATGAGTACGACTTTGAAAATATATGGGAACATGTGGACAAATGCCAGAGTGCAAAACAAAAATGAAAACAGTTGTGACAAGGGAATATAGTTATAGATGATACATTTTATTCTGTTTAAAAATTCTTCAGTCGTGTTATCTTGTTTTACATTTAAAATGAAAAATTAAAATAAGAACAATCACTTAGTCAAGCGGGAGTTAGGAAGGATTCGTCTTAACCCAAATGTATTTATGAGCGGTGTAGTTTATTACTTTTACACCTGTGAGATACAAAGAATTCTTAGATTATGATATACAGTTCTCCTTCATTTGTTTTAGGTAATCTGGTCTAGGTAAGAGTAAATCACAATAGCCAGTGGTTAAACAGAGTTTACAATGTGCTAGGTGGTTCACATGTATTAATTCATTTAATCCTAATAACGACCTTATTAGGTAGGTCCTATTAAATTCCCACTAGGCAGAGGAGAAAACTAAGTTCAGAAAGGTGAGGTACCTTGCTCAAGGCCCTGGCTTAGCTGGTGAGTGGTGGAGACAGGATTCCAACTCTTGCCAGTCTGGTTCCAGAGCTGTGCCCTAAACCAACGTCCTATGACCCACTCAGTGGATGACTAGAAAATGGTACCATGGGTTTCTAACTCAGGCCAATGCTCTTTCTACTGCACCAGGCTGCATCTTATCCGGCAGGTGAGAAAGCTGAAAACAAGACTGAGCGACTTGCTCATGGTCACATGATGAGCTAATGGCTGAGAATTAACTTCTTGACTTATAATCTAATGATCTTCCTATTACCCCCAGACTGCTGGGAATGAAAAGAAAAAAAAAAAAAAACCTAGCTAAGAACAAAAGTAAATGAGAAAAGGCTTCAGGGAAATCAAGCCTAAGACCTTTAAAAAGATAAAAATCTTCCTTGTCTCTTTGCTCTGGCATTTATTTGAACGTGACCCTGTCCTACATGCCACTGACATACATATGTCTGTGCTTGTGGATCAGTGACCTACACGGGAGGGAGCAGGGTGAGGGAGAAGAGAGGGCTTCTGGGAGACGCAGCCATCACGGTGCGCATCTGCTGCGCTAGGATTTGCATGTGTGCAAATCCAGACTCTGCATGTGTGCCTGTGTTGTATATGTTCACATGGAGAAATGACATATCAATCAGGTGGGCTCACTGGAAAATGTAACCATCTTCTGATTTAAAATTTTAAAAGATTCGGGCCTCCCTGGTGGCGCAGTGGTTGGGGGTCCGCCTGCCGATGCAGGGGGTGCGGGTTCGTGCCCCGGTCCGGGAGGATCCCACGTGCCGCGGAGCGGCTGGGCCCGTGGGCCGTGGGCGCTGAGCTTGCGCATCCGGCAACGGGAGGGGCCGCGACGGTGAGGGGCCCACATATCGCAAAAAAAAAAAAAAAAAAAAAATTTTAAAAGATTCTGTAAGAAAAACTGAGCGTGGAGGGGTGATGGCTAATTGTGCGCCAACTTGGCTAGACTACAGTACTCGGTTATTTAATCAAACACCAATCTAGGTTTTGATGTGGAGGCATTTTGTAGATGTAATTAACATCTGCAATTAGTCGACTTTAAAGGGGATTACCCTTGATAATGTGGGTGGGCCTCCCCCAATCAGTTGAAAGCCTTAAGAATAAAAACTGAGGTTTCTTGGAGGAGAAAAAAAATATGCCTTAAGACAGCATTAATTCCTGAGTTTCCAGTTGATCTGAACCTACTGATTTCAGACTTGCCAGCCTCCCTAATTGCATGATCCAGTTCCTTAAAATAAATCCATATCCATCCATCTATCCATCCATCCACCCATCCATCCACCCACCTATCTAGAAAAAGGGAGCGATCCTATTGGTTCTGTTTCTCTGGAAAACCCTGACTGATACAAAGGTCTTTCCAGGACTACAAAGTGCTGTGAGAACACTGGGCACACAGATCCACCTGACATACAGTTCATGAAAAGCAGAAAGCAATTGAAAATGCAGGAAGCAAAGTTTGGCTGAGGAGAGATGATGTTACATGCCACCCTGCAGGTGGGAACCAGAGCAAACATTCCTCTCTGCCCCCAGGTCACAGCAGGCAGTTACAACAGTCTCAGCACAGTCACAGCTGAAAGTGATGAGCCTGCTGTGCAACACAGGTCCAAGGACCTATGAGACCCTGTAGCAATAAAACGATAGCTGGGAGTACAGAACACGCACTCAGATTTCTAGGAATTAACAACAAGGAAGGTGCGCTGGAGGTAGTACAAGAACCTCCTCCATGAAGACTGACAATGACCTCAAGGCATCCCCCGTGTCCTGCTGA